GTACTTTCAGCCTCCAACAAAGACAGACATGCTTGTCAACTGGTCCAGGAAGACACAGGGGGATGAGTGGTGCACTAAAATGTAGTTAGCTTGTTTAGGCTTACATTTCTCCAGACCTCATTTCCAGACTCATTTCTGAGGGTGGAACTTTTCAGCAGTGCCACCTGTGAGACAGGTGGCTTCTGTAAGACCAGAGTGAGAGAGGCACCAGGACTCATAGAACTTACCAAAACCAAACTTCAATAACTTGAAAAGAGGAGTATAGGTGTTCGGGGCCAAATATTTAACAGCTCTAGATCTACCTTGATTGTGGGTTGTGTACTCAGGTAAAGGGATTGGAGGGTAAAACTTAAATGTAGGAGAGGATTGACTAATAAGTAATTAGCCATTGGTATTTATGCCTGCAGTGCACTTGGCAGGTGGGAGAGCAGAGCACAGATGAGTATTGATCCTGTTAAATATTTTAGCCACTTCCTCTGAAAATAATGGAGTTTGGAGCTAATCACAGTGCTGAGTCAGCTCTGCACGTTGATAAAGCAAGATGAGTCCTTTAGGAGCTGCCTCACTCCAGACCAATTTGTTCATTGTAAGGCTGGGTTAGTTTGGCTGCAAGGGAGGTGTAACTTCAGCTTCTAATTCTTCAAGGGCGTGTGTAGACAGCAGTTCCCTGCAGCTATCTGCTGAGGTTCAACATACTGGATTGGCCCATTAGCCTTGGAAGGAAGGTAAATTGTTAGTTGGCTGAGTTTAACAAGATGAAATGAGGGAACAATTAAAGAAATAGGAGTTTATACTTTGAATATAATTGTTAGGGTGTCGCTTTTTGGAACTTCCTCCTACTTCTGAAAAGATGGGAGTTTCCTTCTCATTTAGTCAAACGTTTCCTGAATGAGTGCCTGAAATAGGGTTGGTCTTTTGGGTTGTTTTTTTCCCTTTAGCAGTGACTCACCTGGCTTAATATTAGCAATAAACTTTGAACCACAGGTGGAAAATTTGCAAAGCCAGACAATCCATCTGGTATTCTACTTTCTGTGTGTGGTGCTGACAAGAGTATAGTGCTTGGACTAGTTTCAGGTGGCAGGAGATGTTTCTTTCTCTTGCCACAGTCTGCAAAATGGCTTTAGAGACTTCACAGTCCATTTGGAATCAATGTGAGGTTTCTTTGAAAAAAAGTCACTCTGTGTTAATGCCAAAGCATGCCAATTGTTACAAGTATTTGTCAGTTTTGGTTGTTCTACCTCCTATTGGTTATTATTTTCCCCGGCTTGTTTTGCTGTGATGGTTATCCCATAGAGAAAGCTGGCTTTTCTGTGGAGCTTAGGATTGCAAGACAGATGGGTCTTCTCATTTGGCACACTGAGTTTTCCCCCTGTCGGATGCAGAGGGAAGTCCCATTCTTGTGAGATGTGCTGTGTGCTTCAGCTCTGGGTGAAGGAGAGGTGACCAGAGGAGCCAAGGGGCTTGATTGTTTCCAGAAATGTCATAGATGACTCCAAGCCTCACATACAGAGTAAAGACTCAGGCACTGGACAAGGAGAAGAGAGGCTATGGTACTTAGGCTCTATTTTCTCAAGGAATGAGATAATCACGCTTATTGTAATGTGTGACACTGCTTCATTGGCAGTGAGCAGGAAAGATTGTCTGAGATGGACCACATCATACAACAGGGAAGTTTAAATATCGATTTAGACTCCATAACTAGGATATATTTGTCGCATTCCTGACCAAACAGAAGAGGAGCTCTGGGGATTTGGGCCAGGACAAAGAAATTTGGAAGGCATTAATGGTGAGAAGACCAATGAGCATCTCACGATTCCTAGCAAATGTTTCATTTTAACTTTAGGACTGCAAATGTGGAAGCAAAGGCTGAGGGAGTGTGTAGCACGGGGGGATGTGCACTGACTGCTCTGCACATCAGGGAAAGAATTGCAAAGAAAAGCATTAGACGTGGATAAAAGTAAAGATTCAGATACTGATTCCTCCCAAAAAAATCAAGCATCTTACCTTGAAGAATGAGCATAGAATTGAGAAAAGACTCAGCTTGGACTCCGGGAATGTTTTGGATGAGTTTGGGAAAGTGCTGTAGGAATCCTAGTGGTGGAGCATTGTCTGGTGGGCAGCAGAAAAAAATAGAGAACCAATCTGTGAGGACAACTGAAGACCTTGATGTCCTGAGCTGTTATGGTTAGTTTTTCAAGGTCTTAGTGCCACCTAGTGACTCTTGGAGGAAGAGCAGAGTCTCTTTCAATGAGCTCTTTGCTCTCAAAGTGACATTAGACAAGTGGGTTTATTTTTTATTTCCCCTGTCTGCCTTTCATGTGTGTTTGCATCGTATCCACCCCTTGCACGCCCCAAGGTATCCACCTATCCATGCAAAAGGTAACGAAGCAGCAGCTCAGAGGACAGGGGCAACAAACACCATTTGTCATCCAGTTAATTCCAAATGTCATAGTATGGGCTGTTATTTTTCTCCCAAGAACCACAGAGAGGACCAAATTGTAACATATTTATCTCCCTGTTAATCCTTTTCCTCCCTTTTCCATGCAGAATACAAACCAAGCTATGTTCGGAATCGCTCGATCCGTTCTGTATCTGTTGAGCTGGATGGAGCCATTTATACTCTGGGCATAGAGGATGGCTACCAACCTGTCTTACCAAGAAACATCACAAAGAGGCACAAGGTGCAGAGGGCTCTTCTTCGTGAGGAGGAGGATAAGGACATGGGGGAGTACAGTGGCACTGGTAGCATTACAGAGTACACAGCCCCTAACCTAATAAAAGTGACTCACAGGTGAGTGCATGTGGTGCACTTCTAAAAGCTTTTGCTCCTTAAGTGGCTACTTTACATAAAGGGATGTTACCTTCTGATAAGGACATTGTGTCCCTTTTGCATACCCAGTCGAGCTTCACTTAAATTATTCTTCTAATCTTGTACAGCAGCTTTTGGGTTTAATTTTGCAAAGTACAGAGGGGTGTGATGGTACTACAAAACCACAGCAAGGCCTTTACATCTTCTGCACTTTGGAAGGCAATGATCACTGATCAGTGCATGTTTCCAGTGAGGACAGGCAAAACTGTTTGCAGCATCTGTGTGCACTGTGTGAAACCAGGAAGGGCTCTCTGCAGTGTGCAGTGGGTAACCTGGCCTGTCTGAAGATCAAAAGCTGGACTGTGACCTTGTTTCATATCATTGGTCGCTCTGTAGTTCAAACCCAAGTCAGTCCTGAGAGAAGAAGCAGCCTTTTTTTTTTTTTTCCTAGCCAGTGCTGGGAAAGTCTGTATGATGGATGAATATTTGGATGGAGCAGGAGCATTGGCAGTTGGACATACTGAGAGAGAAGTGAGGGAACTGTCTGGGCACAATTACCTATGTCTGTTCCTCAGTGTGCATCTCTAGAGGCTGATGATGGATCTTCTACTGTACTTTATTGGTTTAGCCACCATTTCTGCTTGTGAATTATCAGGAAATCCACCAGTCATTATAGATTACATGCCATAATTTGTTTAATGACTAGTAATATAAACATGCATGAGCCATGAGCCTGGTAGCTGCTGCTGAAAGCTGTAGTTTCCATTTGACTCTGTTTATAGAGTTAGAGACTACTAATATGAGAAAATGTAGGTAGGTTGACAACAGAGAATTGTGTCCTCTTATCCCCGCTCTCATGAATACTCAGGACCCATAAATCACTATTTGTGCTTTTCTGGAACAATTTGAATTGATTTTTGCTGCTTTATTGGATGAATCCCAAATCTGTACAAGGAACTGTCAGAAAGGTTGTGCATAATTCCTAAGTGTCCTCAGTGACACTTGCAGAAAATAAGGCAGTGAGACAACATCCTTGGTGAAAAGTAAATAAGGGGGTATTGAAAATGCTCAGCTTTAATTTAAACAAGTATTTTAAAATGACTACATGATATTTGTTGACCCCTAATAAACTTATCAGGTAAATAGTCAAGCTCTTGGTTGGTTGGTTTTTTTGAAAGGATTTTAAAACCTGAATTGCATTAGAAGGTAGTGAAACATAAGCATTTAAAATTATCAGAGGGTATTTTGCCTTTGAAGTCAGGGAGGTATCTGAAAAATTTTATCCTTTTTGTAGAAAACAGCAAAATTTGTTTCTTTTTCTTTTCTGTATGATGTAGTAGTACAGCTTATAAAGAAGTACTTTATCCTTGTCCCTACTCCTGCATCACTTAATTATGCATTGGGAAATTGGTTCTGAGTAATGCTTTCTGTACTTGCTAGTTAGTAGACATTATTTATGTAGACAGCCTAATGAATAAGCAAGAAGTCTGTGCAGTGCAGCATGATTTACATACAGAAATTAAGCAGTCAACAGGTTCTGCTTGATAGGAATTTTTCTCCTGAAAAATTTCCATGGCAACTCAAACACAAACTTCTTTCCTGGCTCATGGCACACTCCTATTCTCCTGAACAAAAGTTGCTCTTTGAATTCTGCACGTCACTTCCAGTCTGGCTTCTTATCTGTCCTGGAGCTGTTAGTAAAACTAGCTGTTTGCATTGCTCTGTATGTGTGTATCCACTATAATAAACATTGTTTGCTTTCCCATGCCAAGGTGCTATATCCTGGAGAATGACACTGTTCAGTGTGACACAGATCTGTACAGGTCACTGCAAGCTTGGAAGGACCATAAACTTCATATTGACCACGAGGTCAGTGATGTTATCAGCTATGCTTTTTCTGTGTGTGTTTTTAGCAGGGTTTTCTGTGGGCTGATAGGATCCTGCTGACTGTGTTTGTGTCTGTCTGGAACCTTTTGAACTCACTGGCTGGTTTCAGATATTTCAAAGATAATTAAGTTATTACAAGTTTGGAAGACAAGGTACTGAGTGGAGGAGAGAACAGCAGCACAAGTGACAGCTGAAGCATGTCATAAGCCTTTTGAGATAAATGAGAGACTTGTAAATGTCCCTATCCTGGGAAAAATTTAATCTGGATCTATTTCACATCTTATTATCCTTGCTCCCCAGTGTACCTCTCAAAAAGAGGCCTTCAACTGTCAAATATAAGCCCAAGGAAAAGTGAGCTTCATTAGTTTTGGTGCTTCTAGAATTATTTCCTTTGCTTGCTTGTGTTTAATCATTGTGCTGTGGTATTGAGTTCATTTTCCTTAGGCTCTTGGGTATGAAGAACCTGGAGAGCATTTGCCCTATAAAATTTGCCTATAAAACTTTATCTGATATTTTTGTCACTAATATTGAAGAATATAAGTTCAAACCCTCCACACAAGTTGTGCATGAAAGAAGCAGCTTTCTAAGAACTACATAATGGTGGAACAAGTGCCAAAGAGAAGCATAAAGAAAGGACCTCTTGTAATCTCTTACCAACTGTCATGAATTCACAGCACTGTCCTGTCTAAGAATTTGTTGGCTGCCTTTTTGTGGCATAGACTGACATGTAGCAAGGCAGATAGATACTGAAACACTAGCTTTGCTAGGATTTAAAAAGGACAGTTTCCTATGTACAGAGCTCACCTCTGTGCTGTTGTTTCTGATTTAAGGTCCTAGGGCTGGATTCTTTGTGGATTTTTCTTGAACACTCAGTCCTGTCTGTGCTTCAGCAGCCACGGGCTTCCACAAGGCTTATAGTCACTGATGTCTAATGGTAGTTTTGCAGTGACTTTGTTTTTCACACTGGATTACTTTGTTTTTTCTGCTGTGTTAAGAATCAAGGTAGAAGCCTGTAATGCCCATCTGAGTGGAAAAGGTCCACAGTGTGTGTGAGCTGGACTGAACAAAAGCAGGAGTTCCATTTACTGAAAAAAAAAAAGATAGTTAATAATAAGCCATGTGGGTGGCACAATTAACTGCTAATCCACATTCCCTGTGACCAGAAATTAGTAAAGACTGCCCTGAAGAATGATGGAACCTTTCTACTTTGCTTCTTCAGAAGCTCTGAAGAGGGGACGTTAGAGCACTCCTTCCCTATTCCCTTCTCAGGCTCAGAACAGGCTGAAACTTAAGGGCTTAATTTTTCTTTGAGTAACTTTTCTACCTTCATAAATATACTGTAGAGCACAGGAGGAAAAATCATGATAAGCCAGGAGTGGTTGGTTACCAGAGCTTTCCTCTTGCTGCTGTTTGCTTTTGGAAAGGGAGATAATCTGAAAATGCTTCTTAGTGGTGGGAGTTATGGGAGGTGGTGAAAAGAGAAGCATTTGGTGACAATTGAATGGGCTTGAGAAGTTTAGAATAAGACTTAATCATATTGTGTTGTTTTTAAGCTGTATCTTTCTTTACTTTTTTTTAGATTGAAACTTTGCAAAATAAAATAAAGAACCTGAGGGAGGTGAGAGGTCACCTGAAGAAGAAACGACCTGAAGAGTGTGACTGTAACAAGATAAGGTATTTCTTGTGTACTTCAGAATAATTATTTTGCATTGTGCAACTGTAGCTGATACAGGAGGGATCAGAACCTGTCATGTTAAGTGGTTGCCTGCTTCCTGCACTCTTTTACAGTGTGTGCTGGGGGAGTTGGATTGCTGCAGGAGTACAAGGCCCAGCTTTCTGCCAGGCAGCAGTTTAATTGCCTGCACGTCAAGTGGTGGTGATGTAACAGGACATGTAACATGGCTTATAAACCAGCTAGTTAAGTTCTTGTATTGAGGATGCTGCCATTAGATACCAGAGATTAATATTTCAAGCTTCAGGCTTCTTTCTGAAAACTTGCTTTCCTTAATGGCAAATTGTCAGCATGGTGCAGTGTTACTCAAGTCTGGTCCAAAAAGAAAAGTGTGTAAAATACATGGAATAACAGATGAGAAAATTTCTTCCCAATCAGGTTTTTCCAGGTTTGATCTATCATCTCCTTGGTTGCAACCACTGTAATATTTGAAATTATGCCAGGTGGGAGAAGCAGGAATTTAACAGTTGGTGCAGAATAACTTTCTTTTTTGTAACCACCGATTTAGTGCACAAGATCTGTTTTTCCCTAGTGCAGATGATTAATGGATTTTAAGTGCAACAGTCAATATTATGTATCAAGGTCTCTGCATAGTTGGTTACTCATATAGCCACATTTTTGCCAAATGCCCCCCGATTGCATGGGAGGAAGGTTCAAGCACACTTGAATCCTTCTGGGGAAGAAATCAGGCTCTTGCTCTGCAAATAAGCACAGCAAAAAAGTCTTTCAAAATCGAATGTTAACCCAGACAGAATTTGCCCCTGAGAAAGAAACCAGGAGCAGCTGCTCCTGATCGTAGTGATCACAGAGCAGTCTCTGAGGCTGCTGTGAGCCAGATGTCACCAGGAGTAGCAGCAGTACAAGAATCACAAAGAAAGCTGTACTTCAGTGTACTCAAAAGCATCAGGCAACTCTATGATTATCGGTGGCTGAAGCAGCTTTAACTAAGTAGCCTCTAGAGGGTGTGGATGGCACTTCGCTGCCTGTGTGAATGGATGAGGTTTTGACCATAAGGCTGGAATTCTTGCAAGTGCAACATGCCCAAGTGTATAGACATGAGGTATATAGTGTTTGTGGGCCATGCGGATCTTGCAGCCTGGCTTCAGCAACAGATGACTGCAATAAGAACACAAATGTCTTGGGATATGGCAAAGCATGCATGGAGCCCATGGCAAAAAAGGTGTTTCACATAGAATCAGTGTAATTCTAAAAGGCAAAGCCCCCAACAGTTTATCTTAGAAGCCACAGCTTTAAAAACAGATGTTAACAACTGACTTTATTTAATATATACTGTAAAGATGCTGTTTTTATGGTAAATGCAATAATGCTACAGTTTTCAGGCCCAGTACAGGAAGCACTTGTATTTATGTATTGCATTATTCAGATGAATAATTCCACTGAAACCAATGAGGTTAATCACCTCAGTTACATATGTTTAAGTATTTGCAGAGTTGCATTGATTTAGGATTAGTTAATGAAATACCCAGTGTCTGTGCAAGATAAACAAAAATGGGTGAAGATATATTGTTCTTTAATAATATTTTGTTAACTTGCTATAGGGATTAAATTTATTGAAGCTCCCAGTAGCATTAATAATTTAAAATACTTGGTTTGTTTTGAAAGGAATTTGTCTGACAATTAACTGCCTTCTGATACACTGTTTAGAAAATAACATTTATTGAAGTTAGTTTGTCTTTGTGTGGGTAATATGAACAACTTTATCAGTCAGAAAATATTTCTATTTACTAGGGCTGTTTTGTCTTTTTTTAACTTTGCAAACTACACAGGAATTTTTTGCAAAATCTTGTCAGAGTTTCTGGAGGTCGAGCCTCCCAGCTAGGATGTGTCTGTCTGCTCACACCCTCCCTGTCTCAGAGGGTTTTAGACACTGCTCTTGTTGGGATAGTTCTGTGCATCATGTTAGAGCCTCTAGCTAGTAACAGGGGAGGAAAAAAACAACCCTAGCAAGTACAATTGGTATTTAAATTATTTAATTAAGAAGAAAAACAACAGGAAGGTGGTATCTGAGCAAATCAGTGAATATTCAGTTGAAGAACTGTCGTAATGGAATTACAAGTCTATTAATTTGATCAAACGAAGGACAACATTGAAAATTGTAGCTGGGATGATGTGGATGCATCTTGCAATCCAGTGTTAGAGCGCCAGGTGTCACAATGCACAGACGGTCTAAGGAAAGAGACACAACAAGGAAGAAGCCCCTGAGCCAGTCCAGCAAGGCTGCTTTGTATTCATCACACACCCTGAATCAGTTACAGGGAGAAGTGACACTGGATTAAATCCACTTCAGATTTAGTAGGAAGTGTGGTATGAACAGAAGCAATTGTCTTTCTGTTGTTCATCAACAATGCTGGTTTTATTTTTCAGTTACCATTCGAAACATAAAAGCAAACTGAGGCACAAGGGATCTGGTCTTCATCCTTTCAAGTAAGTGAAGGCCTGTTGCTTTGGAAGAGGAAGTGCCAGGGCGCTCACATTTGATCCCTGCACACTAGTTGCAAACTAAGCAACAGTTGTAGGGTTTCATTTGTCCTATATTAAAAAGCATAAATATCCAGACACCTGGGCAAGGAACCAAGTGAAGTGCTTGTAACATCAAGATAAGGTTCCTGGTTTGAGCAATGTCACATCACAGACTTCAGGCCAGCCCGTGAGCCTCTTTGGCTTAATATTTTTTAAGTGATATAGAATGACAAAGAGTTCTACCCAGAGCCATGTGGACAATAAGCTATTTAATTTAAAAATACCGGTTATTTCTTTCCCTCAGAGCAGCTTATTTTATTAGCTGCTCCATGGGGGTTTTTTAAGTGTGTTGAAGTACAACAGAGTCTGCATGACCTTCATGTCGGATGTGTGCAGGAAAGCCCTGCAGGAGAAAGACAGGCTGTGGCTGCTTCGAGAGCAACGGCGGAAGAAGAAACTGCGCAAACTGCTGAAGAGAATAAAGAATAATGACACGTGCAGCATGCCTGGCCTGACCTGCTTCACCCACGACAACCAGCACTGGCAGACTGCTCCCCTCTGGACATGTAAGGATACTTTAAACTAAATAATAGGTAGCCATGTACTGGCTAAGCTGGGCAGGGGTGCTGGGTTCCTGGAAGTTACCAGTAGCATTAGTTCACAGCCTTCCTCATGCTGCACAAGCCCTCTTGCAGTGTTGGTGTTTATGCTTAAAAAGCAAGGGAGTTAAAACCCAGAACAACTGCAAATAAAAACCCGCATGTCTTGTGTACAGTACAGTTATGTGCAGAATCTCACCAGCTGGGATGTCAGGGAGACCAGCAAAGTCAGAGAGAGTAACTAGTCAAGATGTTCCTTAAGTCATGTTGTGGTCCAGGTATGCAGAGAACAAGCAGCTGATGCTGGAAGGCTTTCTCTGCTTGAGAGCTCAGGAGTCAGAGACAGTAACTATCTATAAATAATGTGATATCATGACAACAATTATTAGTGCCTCACGACAGCAGCATGTAGCTCATGTCTTTATAACTCTTCTGTTTGCAGTGGGTCCCTTCTGTGCCTGTACCAGTGCCAATAACAACACATACTGGTGTTTGAGGACAATCAATGAGACCCACAACTTCCTGTTTTGTGAATTTGCTACTGGATTTTTGGAGTATTTTGATCTCAATACTGATCCATATCAGGTACCTGGTCATGACTCTAGAAATACAGCATCATTCCTTATTGTTGATACATTGAAATAGTGTAGTATTGGTACTGTATATAGATAGTTGAACATAGTATCATTTACAGTATATATGTATCATAGTATCATTTGGCTTCCTTGTTGTTACAAATAACACCTTATTCCATAAATGAAAGTTACCAGATTACAGAGCACTAGTTACTAATAAGAACTGCTCTTCATTGCAGCTAATTAATGCAGTGAATACACTAGACAGAGATGTTCTCAATCAACTGCATGTCCAGCTCATGGAACTAAGAAGCTGCAAAGGGTATAAACAATGCAACCCAAGAACCAGGAACATGGATCTGGGTAAGTGCCTCCTCCCTTACACACAAAAGCTCCCCAAAGGAGTTACCATTATGAAACAGGCATCAATCAAAAGGATTTTAGTGTTTGTTTATAGTAGTTTTCCTCAGCCTTTGTTGCTGCAAAGTAGCTGTGAAATAACAGCACATCTCAGAAGGGTCGTGTTGTGCTACTGAAAGGTGTGCTCTTGGAACTATGGATTTGAAGTCCAAAACCCAAAATGGACCTAGGTTAGTTTCATCCTTTCCAAGCCTTTAAATTTTCTCTGGGTCTTCTCAGTGGGTCTGGTTTTTATACTGCTTGAGATGTTTAAGTATTTTTTAACGTATAATGATAATAGCAAACCAAAAGGTACAGATAAATTTTATTTCTTCTTTTTAAATTGTTTAAATTGTTTAAATCGTTTTATTGTACAGTTAACATTAGAAAATGGTATTTAAAAAAAAATAATCATAGCCTCTAAAGATTGAAGACCCCTAGCCAAAAATAGGGCTTTCTACCTGTGTCCATGAAAGCCCAAAATACAATTTCAGGTCTTATTTAGTTTATCTGTCTCACAAAGCTGTGCAGCTTGAAATTAACAGGTTTTGCCATTTAAATACATCACTGAAGGACATTTTCAGATATACCTATTCCAATTGACAACCTATTTTTACCTAGAATAAGGGATTAAATAGTAAAACAACAGCTCCAGGTAGACGTTTCCATACTTGTTATCATGCAATGCACTTCAATCCATTAATATTCTTAGGTCCCTTTTTTAAATTGTGCGTAACCCTGGTGCCTCGTTCTGTTCCAGGCAATGGTCAGTAACATTATCATTTTTTCTTCATCTAGGACTTAAAGATGGAAGCTACGAGCAGTACAGGTACAGTTCTTTTTACAAAAAAAGTTAAATTATTATTCTAAAATGCTACCTTTGTGCTAAAGGTGTTGGGGATTGGGAATCACATGGATAGACACACCCTGGAAAGTCATTTGCAAGATCTTTCCACCCCATTACTTTGCATCACTGGAGCTATTTCTGTTTTGATGTTACAGCATGTTCTAAACTTTGTAGTCAACATTCAGGCTAAACTTTGCTCCTTCCTCATATTTCAGACTGTAGTGCTGGTGGTTTTCTTGGTGGTGGTTAACATTTTTCTCCTTTTGCTGCTTGGAAATTAGGCAGTTTCAGCGTCGAAAGTGGCCAGATGTGAAGAGACCATCATCTGCCAAGTCACTGTGAGTTGGGAGCAGTTCTCAAAAAGCATTAGCTTTTCTTTACATTTCTTTCCTTTTCTTCCCATTTTGCATGCAGCACTTTTTTAACATCATTATCTATTCTCTAAAGTATGCAAGAAATATGGCACTGCCATCATCACAGGGAATTACAGCTGTACAAAACCTCTTGACACTTGTTTACTGGGAATCCAGGCATATTGAGGTCCAAGCAATTTCAATTGTGAGCAAAGGTGAAAAAAACAGTTATGGTTAAACTGCCAGTAAAAACTAGATACCAATATCTTGGTTTTGTCTAAATTTAAACTTGAAGCAGCTACCTCGTGGTGTCTCACACTATCCAGAAAGAACAAAACTGCAATTCCTCAGAGCAGAGAATCATCTGTTTTCTTGCTGTACCTTACCAGGCACAGTCTGGCCTTCTCAACTCACCCATGAGGATTTCTTTACTTAAAGGTAATATTTGACCGGCTTTGAGACCAAAATGAATCTGGAATTCCATGAGCTACAGGTTTTGTACAGGTTTCAAGCTGTTTTATAGGTGGTCCACAGTGTTTCAACTGTTTTTTCCTGCATGGAACCATTGCAAATCTATTTCTAGCTACGTTCCTACTAAACACTAAATCATGTTTGTTTTATTTTAAAGAGGACAACTGTGGGAAGGATGGGAGGGCTAACCTCCCCTCAGCCACTGCACCTCCATGAGGATCCAAACTGGCCAGAACTTGAATCCATGTACAGACTGAATGAAAATGTGTCTGACTTCAGAAAGAATTATTAATGTTAGCCTGGAGGACTGGACAAGCTTTGAGGCTGAAGTAGATAGATTGTTTGCACTGGTGAGTTTAATTACATAGATGATGGGAAATGCTGTCAGAATTACAGGTCCCTGAAATCCACTATTGTACCTGCTTTTTGCTTTGGATTATACCTCACCTGCTTCACAAGGCATTTTTACTTCAAGAAGACACCACTAACACTTGAACCCAGGACTGGACAGAAGAGGAAATGCAGCCACATTCCAAAGAGGATTGCCATCCCAGGGCAGAGGGCACACAAAGGCAGCAGCAATAGACTGAAAACGTTTTTCAGCTGAATCTTCAATGTCCCGGGAAAAACTTCAATGCCAAGTACAACTCTGAAGTGAGACTTGGAAAACATGGACACTTTTGCTTCTAATTGGGGTAAAGGTAACGGTGGAAAAGAACTTTAAGACATTCAGGAACTGAAAGAAGCAGCATTGAATATTCTCTTCACCATTTTTCTTAAATTTCCTGTGAGGACACTTTTTCATCCATCCTATTGACACCTCTAGGACAATTAGTGAAAATTTTGACTAACAGGATGCCAGATTTTTTGAGGGATTGTGTAAATATTGATCAATATTCTGTTTGAAAATAAGTTCCTTCAGATTGTGAAGATTTTGTTAATAAAAAAAGTGGACTGCCCACACCATTTCTCAAAATGTTCATGTTGCATAGCACATTTCAGAATTTATCCATTTTTAAAAGTACTGAAAAATTCCAGTAAATGTACATCTTAAATTTTAATGGAATCAGATTTGTAAGAAGTTTTTTTTATGTGGTAATATTATATTGTATGTTTAAAACCAAAAAAGTTCCTTTTGAGAAAGCAGCATTTGCTTAGCAGTGTAACTTTTACATCTATTTTTTAAAAAGGGAGCTCCAAGAAGTTCAATGCTTGTAGCCAATAAAGAATAATCCAGTATAGTTCAGTCTACAAAAAAAGTAGATGTTCTGAATGATAGTTACTGTTTAAAGGCTTTTATAAAGGGAAAACTCCCTCATTTTCCTAAGGCAGCACAGTGTACAGTCTGTGTCTTTTCATAAAGGTGTTACCCAATACATGGCAGTCCAGGCACTACCCGTGATGTTTGCATTTATTTTATTTTTCATGTTAATCTGCTACCTGTTTTAAAGGCAGATGCAGGAGGGAGCTCATGTGACAGCCTTGACCAACTGTGGCCTTCACTCTTAACAAAGAGGTACTTTCTTTTTCCAAAATACAGATTTAACCCACACTTTTTGAAACAGCGGAGAAATACATCATGGAAATTATTTTGCTACCCCTTCTGGTTTTGCATAGTAGGAAATTGAAGTGGAATTACTTGGGGGGGGATATAGGTCTCTGTTACAACACTCCCACACTTTAAAAATATACTTGAATTTAGAAACCCTCTCAAGAAGTGGCAGTGGGGTCTTTCATTTTATGTGCTGTATAGTAAAACTAGGCTTGAGTTTGTTTGTATCACATGTGAATGTCAAATACACTTCCCAACATTTTCTTGCAAGTTGTTTTTTTTTTTAATTCTGAAGGTAATGATTGTCTGTCTTAATCTAGCCACAGATTTTGTTTATAGCCTGTTAAGATTTTATCACAACCTGCTAGATGAAGAGATCCTGGATTGATACAAATGAATTTAAAAAATAGTCAGTTTAAACTCATGAATAGAAACAGGTTTTGGGTGCTTTCCAGAGGTGTTGGCTGTCCACCATTCCCAGGGAGTATGCAGGAAGGATACTATGTTAGATTAAAAAACAATTTGCACTTACCTTTTTTTTGTGTTCAGCCTATAGTCTTTGTCCAGATGGGAGCATGACTGTCCCCACCCTGTATGGCCTGGGTCATCACTCCTGTTCCCTGCCAGGCAGAAGCTGGAGAAGTTCCCCGTGTCCCTCTGTACAAAACACCAAGCTGTGGGGTTTGCATGTGGCACAGGAACAGCTGTTACCTTACCTAAGGTAGGTTGTTGCCAACTTCTGGGGAAAGCCACCACCTCTCAGCTCTGCTGCTGTAGTTGAAAAGGACTATTCCACTCCAACTGCAGTTGCTGGGTGGGTCTGGCAGGTGGAAGGGCTACCTTGTTACTCCCGTAGCTTCTACAACCAGGAAACGCTTCAGTCATTTGCTGCAGTTGCTTTCCTCAGGAACAGCACCAGATTTTCTCTTTCCATGATACAGTTACCAGCCTTAAAGTCCAAGACAACTAATACACTAGATTACCACGTTCTGGTTTTAAATAGAAACCTTTATTTACATTATTATTAACATCCAAACACAAAAATCAGAAGAGCAGTAATACCTTACAACCAACTCTCTTATAAATCAGTCCCCATGATTTTTCTGTTTTGCAAAATAAAGATACAGATCTTTCAAGCAATACTTATAATGTAAACTAAACTTAAATGCAATTCTCAATACTGTTTTGCCTTCTCCTGAGAAGTGTTTAAAATATTGCTCTCAGAATTACATGGTTTCATACTCACTGTATCATTCTGGTAGTTTGCACAGAAGTTCTAAAATAAAATATGTGCTAATTGGTACTCAATAATTTTGTTTTATGACTGAAAAGTGGTCCTGATTTTCTAAGTTTAAAAGCAGTATTTGAGGCCAAGATTGGAAAATAATACTGCATGTGAATTTTAGAAAAACATGGTTTCTGTGATCAACAGAACAGAGCCAAGTAGCAAAAATGATGTTTGTTAAGCTGCAGTGATCAGAGGTGGCTGTACCAGCTAATTGTTCTTTTAATGTTTAAAAAAACCCCAAACAACCTGTGTAATGTTTTTCAAAACCATTCAGAAAAATCGACTCCTATAGAACCAAAACAGGTGGAGAAATACGTCAGCAGATTTCAAGGTCAGTTTTACTTACTGCAGTAGGTAAGAGTTTCAAAGCAGATGTATTTAAGATCAGTGTGGCCAAGAAAGGTGTCACTGATGCATTTTAAAGATGCCTCCACCCCCTTAATCAAGTTTAAACTAAAAATCTTTGGATTCAGCAAAAAAGTAGGTGCTGGAAAGCTCCAACATTCTAAACACAGATGAGGAAATGATGATCCTTTATAACATCAGTCAGGTACCAGTTATACAGAGATGTATAAATAGAATAATTCATTTTTTAAAAAAATGCAAAGGGCACAATGTATAAAGTAGTAGATAGTCTGTGAGCTCACCTAATGAAAGCAATCAGGGTTTGTAGTTTCCATCAATATAATGAACAACTACAAACTATAAAGATTGTTCTACTCTGAGTTGATAAAAAAAGCAAAAGATTGTTGCCTTTCAACTTCAGTAGACAGCACTTAACAAATAGATGTGTTCTAAGAAATTAAAGAGAAAAGTTTCTTAGGCTTTTGAAAAGTTTTGCATGAAAAAACACACAAGAATTGGACTGAAGGTTTCAAATAAATACTGTCACCTAAGCTATTCAGTCCTAGTTGCAGAGACAGGGTTGCATAAAGTAGATCAATTGAATCTACATTCCCTTTGGAACACAACTGGCTGGCTAAGGATGAATTATTTGAAAATATTTCAAGTTAAAGTTATATAGATATAAGTGGAAGATCACTGAATATTCAGACCAATAAAACCACCTCAGTGCCAAGAACAACCAATCAAGAACACAGATGATTTAATTTTTGTTTTACTCACTTGGGAGAAGTCAGTTTTGCATTACACAGTGAGCAACAGGACAAAAGCACCACACACCTCAAACAGCTCTGGGTTGTCCCTTAGGGAATTTTAGAGGTTTGACTTCTTGTAACTGCCTGAAACTGGAAAAACTGCAAAGGGATCATCATTTCAAGGGTCAAACCTGGGAGCAGGGCAAAGAAACTTGTCAGTAAATAACATGAATCAATTTGTAACTAGACTTCAATACAGGTAGGAGAGAAACCTGCTTAGAAAATACATTCATTATTGTTAGAACAATCCAATGAGGTGCAGACATTTGGTTCAAGTGTGGCTTATTATCCTTGAAGATTTCTGGATATCATGTAACAACAAATATTTTGCAACAGACAAACTTTTTTAAAGAACAGGTAGAATTCATTAAAATTGACCAAAAAAACCTAAGACACAATCCAGATTCATCAACTGAAAAGGCAACGTATTACAGCAAGACATGACTCATGACAAGTCATAACATCTTACAATGCAGAGCCTTTTTGTCAAATTGCCTTATGTAAAAAGAAGTGTAACAAAGTGCTCACAGGTGGAGAAAGCATTTAAGAACTGGGTGTTTGTTTTTTTTTATAAAAAGCTATATGTTAAAGATGTAAAAATAAATGAAGCGTTGAAGACCAAAGAAGAGAAAGATGTGGGCCAAAGTCACCCAGCTTCAAAGTCATTAACTTGAATTTTAAAAAAAGAAAAATCTAGTTGGACCTCAACTACACTGAGTTTACAGAAATCAATTTTGTTAAATATTTAGCTTCACAAACTCTGCAAAAATGAGTTAGTGACCTACAAAAGTCATATATATAATACATTATCTTAAAGATCATATTTACAAAATGTATTCACAAAAAGACTGCAAAATTCTGATTCAGACTGCAGTGCCTTGCCTTGAGTTTTCTGAAGTCGTTTTCAAAAAGATGAAAGATTATTGCTCTTAATTTCCATACACAGAAAACATTACATTATGCAGTCTTTTCAAATCTTGAGAGAGCGTGTTTGAGAAGGAACATGAGTACACCCTACCTTCATAATAAGTCCTTATCAAAGATATTGCATTAATCCATTATATAGTCTTTTATAAAGTGCACTCAGCTGCACATCAATGTGTAAATATTAATCACAATTGTGTTTAAATAATTTAAATTTATCATCTTCTCTTTTTACCCCTTGGCTTCAACTGACAGGATTTTGGACTAGTAGGTGCCAATTCATTTTGCACTGCTACTTTGCTTGGGAAATCCTGACTCTTGGGGGGTAAGAGATTTAAAAGCAGCATTTATACTCAGGAATTAATACAAAGGAGTCAAGGCTAGGAACTACATTCTCTGTCAGATATTCTTTCTAGAGAAATCAGAAAATTCTTACCACCATGACTTCTCCAGGCACTTTAATCTGCCTGTAGTTGAAGGGCTTTGGACAGCTGCAGGGAACAGATGAGGTGCACCAGGAGTGTCCCCTCACACCTCCTGCCAGACCCTTGCCATGCTCACACTGCTGGAGGCTGAGTGCCAAAAAGACCTGTGACCTTTTTTGCACACCACAGCACTCACCACCAGTGGCACAGCACAGAGGCTGCTTCTGCTGACATGGGGGGGTTTGTTTTTTTCCCTCTGAATGGAGTAACTTTAGGACAGTGTGGTGATTGACAGGAAAGATGAGTTGTTCCCTCAAGGCCAGGAGTCGCTGCCGTGCAGAATGGGTGGCTTTCCTGTCTCCTAGTGCATGGTGAGTACAGCGCCTTCCTGTGGGAAGAGACGGGTCTGGGTGTCAGCAGTATTTCTGTGAAGGAAAAGGAGAAGAAAGCATCACAGAAAATCAAACACACCCTTGCTGCAAAAGCTGGTCAACAGACTGTGTTCTGAAGAGGAGAGTACTGACAAGTCCATATCTAAACGGAACAGCAGCACTTTTGTGCTATGTTTTGAAGATAAATCTGTAAAAGAAAAATGCTGCTTCAGAATTGTCTAAACACATGATTTGGGCAGCTTTGGTGTATGACATGTGGGTTTGGAAAATATTCATTTCTTCTTGATTTTCCTACCTTGGAAAAGGTACATGTATCAAAGTCTCTAATACTTTACTTGGAAAAGGTACATGTATCAAAGCTCTAATACCTTACTTATCCTCTAGAAACCCTCAAATTATTTTGGTTGCTTCCTTAGGTACCGTAGACAAAATTTCATAACATACTTTCTACTAGAAATTTAACTTCTATCAATATTACATTGTTCATCCCTTGGTATTTCATGGAAAGATTACAACAAAAGTATACTTGATATTCCAGCCTTGTGTGCATTGCCTATTATTAGCTCCTTTTCCCCTTAAACAGGGGCCTACATTTTCCATAGTTTCTTGCTATGCATACTCGAGCTATTCTAAGTTACTATAAGGGTGTCATCAGCAGCTTTTGCCAGAAGAAGGATGTTGTGCTACCATGATTCTTGGTCTGACTTGTGAGAACTATACACATAAATCTTTTACACCTGCTGAAGATGCTTTTTACAATCTCTCTCTGGTTTGCTCTCTGGGGTTTATCTAGGCTCAGAAGTATTTTACCATCTTTCGTGCAGTTCAAGCCTTTATCCTACCTGTGACATTCCAAAGTCACCAGCTAACTACAGCACACAGCTTGGGTTTATCATGGATTTAAATATCATCAAAAATAAGGTATCTCCTGGGGCATATAAATGGTAGGTCCACAAGTGTAAATACAAACAGGGTAACTGAGATCAGGGTTGTGCCAGAGGAACAGCTTGAAGCAAATTGTACTCAATGGGAAAAGAGTCAGCAGATCTTCCCATCAGTCTTCTGTCCAACGTACCTGGTCTGGCCCCATGGGCATCCCTGCCAGAGGCATGGAACTCATGTTCATCTGTCCCATGTGGCCAGTGCTGCCATTCATGTGCATCATGCTGTAGGCTGCTGGGTTCCCTTGGTGGCTAAACTGCTGCTGTGGGAAAGAACTGGAGCACAAAAGGACAAAATTACCTTCCAAGAAGTGTCCACCCTGATGTACTGCCTTCCCTGCACCACCTGTCAGCAGATGAAAGATGAAACTATTTCTGCATTTACTTGTTTCTACCTCATACCTGTTTAATGCAGGAACAGAATTTTCCTCCCAAAAGGAATTTTGAACATTTGGATAGGCACAGAACAATGTGTATGGATTTCCTGTTGTAACCTCTTTGGAGGCTTCTGTTAGGGCTGTACACTGCAATACTGTTCTCAACCTTCATATTTCTCCCCAAGTAATTTTTTCCAATAGTCAAAGACTGAAGGTTGTTTCCAGCTACAGAGATTGCAGAGGTCCAATCTCAATAAATGGATCTAAGAATAAGAAACATTTAATCTATTTCCTAAACAAGAGCAGGAATAAGGACAATACAGACACTAGAGACAGAATTATTTTTTCCCCTATTCTAAATCTTTTTCCCACTACGACCTATTTGACAAAGCTACTTCTTTTGTCAAAACAAAATACAGTTTTTGAGCTGTACGTGATAACTGAGTAGTTCACCTGCTCCTGGTCATGCTTCCCGAGGGCCAGCCCTTCATCTCAGGGGACTGGTACATGGTTGCTGGCTGAGGATGCTGCATCATGGCATTCTGGGAGGGCCCAATTCTTGATGACATCATTGGGTTGGGAGGGCTTGATACTCTGCTAAAGGCAGGATCAGGTTGTTGGCTTATTCCTTAAAAGACAAACAACATACTTCAGTTATCACATCACCTAGTATCTTAGTTTATCTTCTTGCAGTGATGGCAAGGGGAAAAGTCATCCTTTTTGATAGATTTTTCCATTTTTCAGAATGATTGGTATATTTAAGTAGTTTAGATTAGTTTTAGTAGTTTAGATTAATAATAAATGAAAAGAACACCAGAAAAAACAACAGAAAAAAAACCCCAAAGATATTAGTACTAGTACCATAATTAGGTGGATAGGAGAATTGCTGTGGAGGAACTTGAGCCATTGGTGGGCCTGTCAAAGCACTGTCCATGCTTCCTGAGGCAGTCACATTTGGGGGTGGACTGAAGGCCTGAGGTTGCTGTTGCTGCTGCATCATCATTGCCATCCTCTGTTGCCTGAAGTGATGACTTATTAGCTCCCTGTTGCGTTGAGCCACCATCTGAGCATTAAGAAAACCTTGCTGCTATTCCCCAAAGAAAAAGAAAAGTCATATTAGAAAACATTTTTACAAACGAAATCATGTCAATCAAACCACCCACACTCTTAAGTATAAAACCCAACATTATCCATTATCAGAACAGAAAGTTAAGAGAGCCCAGGGTGAGCACAAAAATCATAAAAATACCAAGACAAGGGTTTTAATTAAGTTGTCACTGATACTAAACAAATTATAAAGTAGATTATGCATTATATCCTACATGACCTAATGAACAAATGCCTCTGAAAACTCAATAAGAGAGGTATAAAAGCATCTTTATTTAACAGTGTGGGGGAGGAAAACAAGACAAAAAGGAATCCTGTGGATCCAGGAAAGAAAGTCCAAATTCTAAACAGCCATGTACATGATGTTTCTACTTAAAAATTACCATTTCAGTTGGCTTGTATAAGAACTCCTTACCTGTGATCCCACCTGTGGCTGCATAACTGGTCTCATCACTGAGGTGTTACCACTGACTGGATTTTCCATTTTCATTTCAAGTGCTTGACGGGTCTGATTCATAAACTTGAAAAAAAGACATTTTAGCACAGTTAGCTTGAAAACACCAGTATCTGGACAAAGTAAGGGTAGCTCCTCCAAAAAAACCCCAAATAAATCACATTCGTCACAAACCTCCATAAAGTGCAATTGTTAATTTTTGCTTTGATTAGTACCTTAACTACTAAACTATTTTGTTAAGCAGCTCAAACACACACAAAAAGAAAAACCTTCCAGACACTGCAGCACTAACTGGCTTCTGGTTTTTTCCTCCCCTTGAAATTAGCACATTTAAAGAATAAATATATAGCAGACTATCTATTTCTGATAGCAGGGCAGAAAGAAATAACAACTAGCTTTGCTTGAAATGATAAAATTTTGTCTCCTCTTTATATTACAAAAACCCAAAGCTATACAGATTGAATTAGTGTTCCAGAACAGCCAGGAGAAAAGACAGTATTTCCTAAGGATTAAACACTGCCATTCCATGTCACAAAGCACTACCTCAGTTCTCTGAGTTTTATTTTTACACTGTATTTGATTCCAGGACTGCATTTCCACATGAGGAATTCCATGCTGAAATCATGCAGCAATTTTTTTTATAAGCAGTGTTTCCAACCCAGTGTTAAGATCTGTGTGGCTGGATTTACTCTCTTACCTTTCATCCTAAGAAAATATCTAAAAGGACATCAAATCAATAAATGGAAAGCAAACCCGTATTTCAACAAACTGGTAGTTGGAAAACACAGTCAAAAAGAAGTAACATTTGATATGCAGGAGAAATACAGCTGCCCAGGTAATGATATCAGTGAGATTCAGAAAAAAATAGTAAATCTTAACATGGATGGAGAGATCATCCAGAACCACATTGTACAAGAGGACTGTTTTAAGAAGCAGTATGTTGTGTGCTGCAGACACCAAGCCAGCCTGTAGCTAAGGAGGCTGATGAAGGAGACACCCTTGTCCTAATAAAGGTTCTGTCACTCCCACAGCTGTTGGGCAGTCGGTGTGAAAAGCCCTGGCAAACTGAAAGGTCCATCCTTTCAGTCCCCTGCATATAATGTCAATTTTCCTATTGATGAAGCAACACAACTCACTGTTCTGAAACAAGGAGAAAGTGTAAACACAGGAGCAAAAAGATCACCTGCTGCCCCTGAAGCCTCTGCTGGAGCTGCATGCGGAGCTGCTTGGGGGTGCTGGTGCGGGGTCTCATCACGTTTGCTCTCGGATGCATATTTTGAAGTGGAAAATTGCTCTGTTGGCTCATCTGATTCATCATAGAATTAAAGGATGGCTGTTGTCCCTGGATGTTACTGAAGCCTCCTGGCATTGCTGCTGCTTGCCCTTGGTAGGGCTGACCATATAACGAAGGCTTCTGGTCGATCATAACTGAGGATTCCTGACCTTGAAATGAATCCTGTTTGGGTTCCAAAGCTTGTCCCTTCAACAGTTACAAAATTGTTTTCACTAGCACTGTATTCTTAAAGAAACAATAAAGCTAACAGAATACAATGACCAGTAGTTTCTTGAGTAGAACATTAACATGGACAGATTACTATTAGTTTTGTCTAGAGACAAAATTGAATAATTTTTCTTTAAATCACTTTTGCTGCACACTGCTTACATAGGCAGATCAGCATCATTATTCAAGCCCCTCCACACATTTAAACTGCTGTTTGTACAAATGACAGTGCAATTTTGTGGTCTTTAGCAGGTTACAAATTATTAATAGAAAGTCTTTTTTCCTGTTTGCTAGCCAAGCAAATGTAGCTGGAACTGGAGGACATGGAAATGCCCTACTCACTACCACTCACAGCTCAGTTGACAATAGTTACACTAAAGAAACTCAACACATTTCTCTGCTTATGAATGATGATTCACACCCAACCCCTCCCATGTACCAAGGCATATTACAATAAACTGAGATAAGATGGCATTTTATATTTTTGTAATGTACAAGAAATTTAATCACTACTGAGCTTCTTCTATGAAAATCACTACTCAGTGCAGATGCTTCCAAAGCATTAAGGAAAATCAAGAGAGGGAATCGAGAAGACACAGTGAGAGGCTCTCTTCAATAACAAAATAATACAGGTTTTTGGAAAATAAATTATCAAAAGCTGTGTTTACTTACTTGGTTTACAAGATCAGGAATTCCTAATGCTCTGTCAATTTCTTCCAGACTTGTGACATCCGTGTTACTCAGCAATGTGTGCAGCTGATCCAAAAGTGCCCTTTCATCGTTCTGGCCTTCCATATTTGGTGCTGGACATAAGAGGTCATCCAAAGAGTTTCTAACTAATTGTCTACAAATATAAAAACAGCACAAGAATTATGGACTATAAAGGCATATATGTTTGGGTTTTTTTTATATAAGCTGTTGACCTGGAGATTATAATCACCCAGAAGTCCCAAGTAAGGCTTAAGAACTTAAGTCTCAAATTCAGGTCCTAAACTGTCCAGTCAATTGCCATTTATCCTTGAACACACATCCATTCTGTTTTCTCGTGGCATGTGCCACAAAGACAGGATTTCAGATTTTCCCACCTCAATGATTGGAGCTTTTTGTGGAACTGCATTTAAAGATACTCAGTGTCATATCATGAGAAACAGCAGAAGAAACTGAAAGAAGTTCTGACTCCAAACTGTTGTCTCCACTGTATATGCTACATTAATTTTTTCCAGATCTTAAGTTCTTCTGACAAACAGTGAACAGTTTTATTTAAACTTATCATAAAACCTTCCCCAATTCTACCTGTTCTGTGAGCCCCGTGGTGCTTGCTCCATGGACAGCATGTTGTCAGGCCAGGATCCTGGTTGGTTAGCTGGTCCTGCCTGGCCATACGGGTTCCCTCCCATACCAATGTTTATCTCATTTGACCCTGTGAGGTAAAACAGTTGTGTTTCTTTAAAAACAAAAGGTGTCATCTTGCTCTCCCAAGCGTTCTCATAAAGCATTCTGGAACGTCAAATTGTCAAGCAGCTTCACAAGGTTTCCATGAGCATGTTTTAAAGTGTGCACATACATAAACTTACACTCCAGATAATTTCAGCGATATAATAGCATGGCAGCAATCTAGAGCTGCTACCCTCTTAGAGAACAATTTCTAATTGTTCTATTTCTAATCCTTAGGCCCCTAAAATAGGGACTTAACAGACACAGCATTCATACGTGCAAAAAAGTAGTTTCTTGGCCAATGAAATCTGGATACTAGCAAACACACATTGTCCTAGTGACATCAACAACAATCAGCATTTTAAATTCCAAAAGAGGGTGAGCATCTAAAGAAACAGAAGGTACACAATGGTGGTTTGCTCTTTAGGAGTATAGCTTTGCTTCTACCTTTTCAGAGACATGAAACTAAAGAGAGTTTGTGTCATTCCTCTATTTCCCAGTATTTGTAGGAATCACCTAGCAGCAACAATTTCTAGGAAGCTAAGCTGGCTGAGGAATTCTGACTCAGTCAGGATAGCCCAAATTTCTTCCTCATTTACCTTAAATCCACATGTCACTCTGAAACAGTAAGTATGTCTAGAGAACAGGTAACAGACCTGGTGGCCTTCCATAATAGAGAAGGAAAAAAGGAATGTCATTGTATTTCAGCCCTTTTTTGGGCACGTTTGGAACATTAGACAATTCCAACTCAAGGCTAAACCTTTGTTAGAGAAACAGAACAGAAAAAAACCCAACAGGCTTTACAGACTCCAATCTTTAGACATGCAGCTGATGCAGTCAGCTCAGTCTCCACCTCAAATACCCTGTGGATGAAAAGTCAGCATTCCCCCAAAACTGAAGAGATTCGGATGAGGAATGCTGACGAAGTAAGTTCTGACATTGTGCTGAGTAGGACAATAAAAGGTGAAGAACTTACTCATGTGAAGCATTTGCTGCTGCAGCATTGGCCTGGCCCCAGGGACGCTGTTGGAGCGAACGGGCAGCCCAGGCACAGAGCCGCCCCCCGCGGGCCTGGGAAGGGACGCGCTGAACTCGGGTCTCAACATGGAAGCAGAACTTGTTGGTTCCAACCTGTTCACCTTGGAGTTGGGCAAACCCCAGTCTCCTGACTGGTGCTGATTCATAGCTACATTTCTGTTGGGAACACTTGCTGTAATGAAGAGCAGAAAGCATAATAATTTTTCAATGAGAACACATGTATTTTGAATTTAGAATTTTTTAATGGAGGTTTTGTTTTGTTTTACCAACAAGGACACCTGCCAACGACAGAGCAGTTCACTCAGCTCCTAACAAAAACATCTAAAGCTCATCATGGCAGGTTTCAAATCAAAGAACCATATTCATCCAAATGTATTGTAAAATATTAATGACTGACTGCCATCATGACCTGTTCTTGCTTCTATATGTCAAAAAGCTACATAAAATTCGAAACTCAAACCAGTAAAAAATAATTTAACTGCTAATGAAAAGCACTGGTAAAAACACATAGATGGGAAACAGTTATGTTCTTAACATTTATCACGGCGGATAATAATTTAAAAGTATTTAATGCTAATGGTAAAATAGACATTCTTTCACATTAGAGTTTCTTCTAACCAAAACTCATATCATAATCTTGCAACATTTTTTACATTACTTTACAATAAGATGTATTTGTACAGAATCAACAAACCCAGATTTGCTCCAAAATTTTCCTGGTTTTCCACCATTCTTGGACTTCCACCCATCAAGTTTTGCTTTTGTAACATGGAGAATGCATTGACATTCCTCCCTGCAGCACTGGAGCCCACAGGGCTGTCTAAAGACATGGCTCTGTTGAAGGGTGGGCGGGTGGTCTGCACAGACTGGGGACTCCTCATACCTGGTAAAGAATTAAGAGATGCAGGTAACTATGCTGTAAATAAGGAAGTACTATTAATGACTTAAATAAGTCTGATGTATTTACAGAAGTATATATTTGACCTTAAACAAGGCAGGAATAGGTACTCTACGTATGCTCTCGCTACACAAATCACATTTTGAGTATGTAGTTAGGACCTTTTACAGGAAAATGCAAATGCAGTTAGTTCCCTTTGGCCCTCAACATGTAAAGGTTCATTTTAATTCAAGTTCTGTAACAAACCATGTTTTTAACATCTTGAAACACACTAGTATTCTAGACTCCATGACATACAAGTGGACTGCCCAGCCTTCAAGTAACTCTGACATGTAGACAGAATCAAGTAAAATGGTTCTGCTTGGAAGAAGTTGAATCCAGCAGTAGCATGTTCCTGAGCACAGTCAACTGTGTGGACTAACCCAAAAATCACTGTGCTCCACAGCCAATCATGGCTCTTGTACATGTTGTTATTGTTTCATTATACATGTTTCAGCTCCTTAGTTACCTCAGCAGCCTACTGCCCTGTACAGTCCAGAGGTGACCAATGCTAGAACAGAAAGTGACAGCTGCAATGATGCTGGTCTACTAAGCAAGGTTGTCTTGCCCTCCTATTCAGCTTCCTACTAAGGAAAGGCATTCCTTCCAATACACAGAAAAGCTGGGAGACCAAAAGCTTCCCACCAATCCCATGTTATTTTCCTAGTCATCTGCAAGCAACAAAAATTTTTCATTTTCATTGACAACTTGCAAAACATTTCTCCTGATGTGCTGTCTCTGAGACATCTACCTTAGACACACCCAGAGAAACTGTAACACAAGGAACTGAAGTGAACTTTATCCAACGTGGATACAGCACAGAAGCACTGCCAAGATAGCCAATAGTGCACCTAATAGCCTGTGAAAGCATTATAAAAATTTGGCATTCCATTTGTCCTTAAAGATATAAGAGACCAAGACAGTCCTCTGTAAGGAGTTGAGGATGCATTATGTTTATATCAGGTAAGAAGAAAATCCTAACTTTAAAAGCACAGTGATATTAAATTAAATCCCTTACTCAAGAGAGCATTTCCTTGAAATAATGCTTGCTTTGTTCCAAGGTTATTTCCAGCAGACATAGCATTATTGTAAAACTCTGAACTAGTCAGATCACCTAGAATTGCATCCAAATTATCCAAGTCTCCAGTCACCTGAAAAAGAAAGTGTAAAACACCAAGGTTATTTACTATCATACAGCTTTCCTTCAGCTTGTATTTCAATTCTCACTAATCTTAAAAGATACAACTAGGAGACAAATGACAGGGTCTTGGGCTCTCTCTCTATATCCAAAGTACTTCAGATATCATTTAGCTACATTTTTTAGAGTATTTTGTTTAGCTAACTTTGAAAATCAGGAGACACTGGAAGTACACACAAATAAAAATAACCTTTGGATATAAATATTTCAGTAATTACAAATTACAAAGATTAAAAACACCAACGCAAGCAAACAACATCAAGGTGTACCACTCACTGATAAATAATGTATTTGTCTAACAGGAAACACCTAATTTCATCACTAGTAAACACAACCATGCATGAAAAGCACCTACAGATTTTTCTGGTCAATGGAGCCCTAATCTTTAAAAATGTGTCTTTAAATCAGATGAGGCTTTAACACAGAAAGAACTGCATATCACAGAATTGTCACCCCAAGTCCAACCATCAACACCAAACAAAAAACCAAACCCACACTCCATCAAAAAACACCCACAAAACCCCCCATAACATCAGCCACTAGATTATGCCCTGAAGTGCCACATCTACATGTTTCTTGAAGACCTCATAGGATGGTGACTCAACCACCTCCCTGGGCAGGCTGTTCCAGTGCCTGACCACTCTTTCAGTATAGAAATTCATCCTAATGTCCAATCTAAACCTCCCCTGTCACATCTTCAGGCCATTTCCTCTGGTCCTATCCCTAACAAGTGTTCTGCTTGTCAGCCTTCAGGAGAGCTGTTCAAATGGTGGTGTAGTTTGCTATTTCATGGCATTTCTTGGAATTTCAACTCCAGAAACAGTGAAACAAAGAAACATACTTATTTGAATGCTGATTATATATATGTATTTGGAACAACATTTTCCTTCACTTAAGAAAGAAAACAGAGTGCTCAAATGAATGAACTAAACCCATTTTTGTGTATTGTTTATATTTTCAGAATGAAATAATGTTTTCTCTTTTGCTATTGTATTGCCAAATAATTAGAGAGGCAGTTGCAGCTCAGTTCCCTAATAAGCCATAAAAATAAGAATGTGCTACATAAAATAGCAGATGCTAAAGATCTGATTTGAAGGAATAATTTGTAAGTATATGCTACCTGACTTGTACCACAAATTCAAGATAACATTGGTCTAGGACTTCAAAGGAGCACATGTGGTTATATCATATCCTGTAGTTCTCTTTGTACTTTTTCGGTTACAATAAAATCTGAGCATACAGTTTCACACCATCTACACAGAACTTTCTTAGAAATGTTTACAACTTATGAATACTAAAAAAAAGAGTGTTCTATTTTTAGCCATTCACTGTAAAAAGAAAATACTGGTTTGTTCACTACCACCATTTTACATTATACTGTACCTCCTCTGTTGGCTCCATTTTTATTTTCGTGTCTTTTTCTTGACTAGAAGTAGGAATTGTAGAACTACTGCATTGCCCCATTTTATTATCCATACTTTCTACTTTAGGCTTCAACTCTTTGGAAAGTGGGTCCTTAACATCATCTTTATCTAACAGGTATCTCAGTAAAGCATTGCTTTCCTTCTTCTTTGGGCTCAGTTGCTCCTGTTTGACAGTGCTTTCTCCACAGGGTGCTGTATTACTGGCATCATGATAGGTGTCTTTACCAGTAGCTTCAGCTGTGATCTTGGCTACCTCTGCAGGAGAATTACCATTCTGCAACAATTTATGCAGAATTCTATGCTTCTCTTGCAGGAGCGACCCATGCATGTTTGAGGAGGAAGACACCCCTCCAGATGTTGAGGAGGAAACTCCTGAAGAAGGACTGGTAACGTTGGTGGAAGATTCTTTGCAATTTGACTCTAAAGGTGAGTTTGATGCTGTAGAATGTCCTCTTTCATCTGAGGAGCACGTGAGAAGTTGAAGCAGTTTTTTATGCCCTTTGCTTTCAGATGGTCCCCTCTGATTTTCAGGTGCCTCCAGATTTCCCTCTTTACTATCTTTTTCACTAAGAAGATCCCTGCTGTTTGACTGGCAGATGGAACTTTCCACTTGGTTTTGTTCACAATACAAACCAGAAGGGCTTTTGGAGTCCTGGGCACTCGTTTTACTTTGCTGAGCTACGTTCATGTTTGGGGAATTATCCAATTTTGGACCCGGTGAAGAAAGTGTTGATAAAAGGGAAGTTCCAACCCCCTCACTAATGGCTTGAAGAGCACTAAGAGAACTGCTGGAGAAAGTGCTGTTGCTGGTGTTGCTGGCAGATCCCATTGGAGAGTGCATACCTGTACCACATGACAGAGATTACATTTATGAGACTACAGTACTGGCTGTATCTATTTTTTTCTTTGGATAATGTACGACTGCCACATTGAGCCAGTTATTTTAAAATAAATTTTTACCACTAAATTAGGTATGCTACATTGAAGTTATATATATATATGAAGGTAAGAGAGAATAGTTATAAATGATAAAAGATGGAATTCAGATAAAAGTGAAAAAAGCACTAATTAAATTAATTTTAAATTAAATTAATTTAATTTTAATTAATTAAAAAGCACTTGCAGCAAAAATAAAATACCTGTAACAGGAGAAAACTGGTGTGAACTCATTTTTGGACTCCCTCGATTCCTAGGAGATATCATTAGATTCTGTTGGTTGGAAGTTAAGCCAGGACTACCATGGGGTGGGCTGCTTATGTTTAACCCATAATTGTTGTTCTGATAAGCAGAGGGCTGCATTCCAGGTCCAGGGTTCACGGGCCCCATGTTACCAGGGCCGCCAAAGCGAGTGCTGCTGAGCTGACCCACTGCACTGGGGTCTCCCATGCTGTAGTTCCTGTTCTGCATTGCCACACCTTGACCAGGTGACATGTTCATAAGACCAGCAACAGAATTGGTGTTTCCAGCCACAGGTGTTCTGATGTTTTGCCCAACTGCATTAGGATTTGGCCGATAACCATTTTGTTCCCTGCAAGTTCAACAACATCCCCAGAAACCCCAATAAAATTAATTGAGACTTTGTTTGGAATCAAGCATTATAAAGCCAGAATAACATTACTAAATAATTTTCAAATATTTTTTTCAAAAACAGCAGTGGGAATTCAGGTTTCCACAGATGCAGAATTAAGCCATGCCACTCATTCATTACAGAAGGGCTTTAGGTCCTTTAGGTGACTTAAGTTGTAAGTACATATAGCATCACCCCTTCAAAGAGGTTTTCAGCAGCTGCCATTAGTCAGATCTATCAGGTTAAACATCTCGCTTCTTTCCTCCCTTCCTGGGATTCCATGCATGACACCTCTCTGCTGTGCACACTAATGATACCCCCAACAATTTCTGCTACTCATTTTTCAGCATCTGGAGGCACTTTAATGCCAGAAGCAGACAGACTCCCTCCAGAGTGGCATTTCAATTACTCTTGCAATCAACAAGAACAGGACACAGGAAGTGCTATTTAAGGTACATTTAACTTTGAGTCATCAATGATGCATCTGACGCATTTTGTTGACTTTCTAATTGGTCTGCAATTAAGAAGATAAAACATGTAACTGAGCATTTCTATTTTCAGTGTTTCATCATTATAAATGCTAACCTGAAAGAATAATTAATATATAATCTAAAGTCCATGCAGGTACTAAGGAAAAACCTCCCTTTTGACTGTGATTGTCCTTCTGCCAGACAGTTGGGAGTGTCAGTGATGGCTCCTTCTTTATACACTATGCAACTCTGCTTCCCAAGTTATTCCTCCTCTAAGTCTTAATCAGATAGGACAGTTTTGTACATTATTTATTCAGCTATCTTCAAGGTCAGATATATCTTTAAAAGCAATGACACTTAAACAACAGCCAGACACCACTGGTTTCACCTTTGAAGAAAGTGGGTAGAGATGAATCCATGGCGGTCATTGGTGACAGGGTTTCTAAACAGTTTGCTCTTGGTTTGTGCTGTCACTATGGTACCATCTGCCAGGGAAAACCGGTACAACGGTGTCTCTGCATGGCCCTGGGTATAGGCTGGAAAGGAAACACACAATTACAGCTCGTACTTAAAAACCCAAGGATTATTACTATGCCTTCTGCAGATTTTAAACACAATACCCTTCATTTGCTGAAGATTGTTAATTTTTTAAAAATACCTACTCAAGGTAGATAGGCAGAAAAAGGAAGTATAACACATTTTCTTCTAAATTGTTAAAAGTAAACAAGATTCTTTGGATGCTGAAGTATTTTGTGCTCACCATGCACAGCTGATACAGTCCCACATTTGTTAACAGACTTCCAAAGCTAGGTTAGTACGTTTCCGTGGCTTCTCCTGGGGAGAAGGACTAATCAACACTGAAATAGTAATTGCACTAAAATATACAGGTAATTACTATGGAATAAAAATTAAACTTGGAATTCTTCAGATGAAGTAATTTTAAGTTTAAAAGTTTTATTCTAATTAAAAAAATGGTGGAAAACATTGTAATCTGAGCTCCAAATTTCTTGCTAATTTAGGATTTATTTAATGAGTTAAGTTGAAGAACTTCCAATGGAATGGAAATTCCATTTTCTGCCAGTATGAGTTTCTCTTTATTTAATAACCTCTCTACTTGAATTACTTTGTGAATCCTCCAAAAAGAGTAGAGTGCAGAAAACTTAGAAAACATCATATTTCTTACTGAAGACAGTGGCTGTACTTCACTTATCTACCAAGGTTATCAAATTAGCATTACAAAATACATTACACTGGAACACTGAAAATACTCAGAACCCATGTGTATTGAATAAGAAAAAGGCATCAACTGTTATCACTACTGTTATCACTTTTATTGAGCTATCCTTTAATAACCAAAAAGATTACTTAAATTAAAAAGTCAAACTTACGCTAAACAGAAATAACAAGCTAACGACAATTAAGGATTACACATTAATACAGAAATATAGCTGTCCCTGTCATAGCTATATACATCTGTGGAAAAACAGGCTCCCAGATCATGTATCAGATGGAAAATTATCAAAACAGACACATTAGAAAAACAAAATAACTTCCATCAGAATTCTTATTTCTCAAGAGAACATCCTCCTCCAGCTTGTAAACATGAGTTGCAGCAATTAACGCTAACAAATAAAATATCTTAAAAAACCCAAACACAGGCAGAATTTAGCATTTTTGTTTTTCAGAAAAAAAAACACAGTATGACCAGGGTTGCAAACAGGTTTTTACCTTCATGATAGTGGCGTTTGTTTGACCATGACTGTCCATCACTGTGGCATAAGAACCTCTGAATACACCGACGAATTATATCTTCAAAGCCAGGTCTCATGGAAGATCGTAGTGAGTTTGTATCAATGTTGACAAGTTTGCCTGAAACAGGAAAGAAAATACACAAGTTAAAGTCTTTATGATTATGCCAGTTCTTCTGTATAAACAGAATACATTTCAGAAGGCTCCAATGTCACCATTTTAATTGTTCAGCAGCCTAACACCAAATTTTCAGCATACAGAGGAGTCATATTTCTTTAATTATCTGCCATGTCAGAATTTGTAAGAACATCAATATTCAAAGGGATTCAGATAACTGAAAAAGAACAAGTTAAGCACTACAGGTTAATGCAGAGCATTTGAAAATAGTAACTTCAGTTTCTGGTTACAGGCACTCATAGGATGTACACATAGTAAAATTTCTGGAAATACTGACCAACTACATCTACATAAACAGTAACTGGCATCTAGAAACCTATCTGGATTACATAAGTCTTGCAATTTAAAAAGCATAAAACACTTTAAACATTATGTATTGCAGAAAAACACAACCCTTCTAAAGAGCTTTGAATAACTAAAGGTATGATTTAAATATTTCTTACACGTAAGGGAAAGCACAATAACCACCACTTGAAGTGCTGCCAAGTTAAAGCACAACTGATGCTTTATACCAAGCTGCCAAACAATAGATACTAGCATAGAGACAGAGAATGTGTCCCACAGTTGTTATTACACCCCATTGCCAGCAGAAATATATTTCAAAACCTGTTGGGAATTCTCAGTATGAATTCTGCAAGTCACTACAGATACACAATTTATTTACATCTTTGATTTATGTAAAACAAGATCACAAAGACCAAATTAAAAAGATACCTTCATCTTGGGTACATTTCTCACCTGAAAGATCATGTCTTGTAATAAAGCTCTCTGGATTTGTTGGAAATACCCTTTCTGCAGTTGTGATACGTCGTGCCACGCAAATCATACAGGACTGCAAATCTGCATTTAAATAAGAATGTTTCTTCTTTAATTTCTCTCCTGTTTCATTCTATTAAACCATCTAATAAAATAGCTGAAGCATCCTTCATTGTTACAATGGAAGTATAAACAATAGGAATTTAAGTTTTTTGCATTCTGTTTCTACTTAAAAATGAATTGCAGAAGCTACAGATTTCACAACATGTACTAAATACTGTGTACAGAGATTCCACAAGATGTCCTACCTTCCCCCTCTTCCATCATAGCTCTTGGCTGAGATAAAGCAAAGCACTGCATTGTTTCATATCTCTGACGTGCATCCTGGTGGCTGCCTACATCTTCCAAAAGATCATGAGAGGTTTTCACCATCATCCGGCAATTGAATGTATGACTCTTCTGTCTGGGTGTTTCATTGGTCCAAGCAACTCCATTAACTTTAAAAGAACACAGTAAGAATTTATTGATATTATCAGATAAAAATCAATTAGAAACGGATTTTTCTTAATTTAGATACCTTGGCTCCTAGATTAGAGAGATCAGAGAATATTTTAAGATGCTTTCTCAATATACCATCAGTTTTACATCTCGAGAATAGTAGTTTTGAGAACCAAGTAAAAAGACTCTTTCCTTTACATGACACTTTGTCTCTTGAAGGATGAGCTAAAAACTCATTCAAATATTTAAAAAACAAACAGCTCCCTTAGCTAGTCCTGTGGCTTTAGGCAATATGTTCCTTTAGAATAATTTTTTTAAGTTAAAGGTAAACAAATTGCAAAGGTTAAAGTCAAATGTGGCTTTCCAGCACATTTCTGTCTGGTGGTGTGATTTAGGCAGAACATTCATATTTTTCAAGATTAATACACTTCTGAAGTCAAACATTCTTTGTATAAGTCATTTGTTTTGAAATGTTACCCATTACAAGTTGTTTGATTCTTCTCTGATTGTTTTCAACTAGCCTAGTAACAACGCAGTAAGTCAGCTTTTATTACCTGAAGATTTAGGCAAGTTTTTGAGAAAGTCTTTCCGGTCCTCCTCGTGCAAGATGCCATAGACACTTGTATTAACCAGATCTTCTTGCTTATACTGCAGATACTGCGTGACATTTTCTGACACAAACACTATGTTCCCATCTCGATTTACAACAAACAGGAAACCGTCCAATGCCTAAATATTAACATATTAACATCAGAATCTGATAAGACACACCACCTAATACTAAATACAATTCCATTCAAAAAACATGTGGGTGATAAATGTCAAGGTACAATACATGCATTTCTTTTCAAGGGTAGAGCTGAAGGTTTAAATTTTTCTCTGAGGATATCTGCTTCTGGTAAGGAATTATTTCAATATCAAAAATGTGTTATTCTATTGAGCTCTTTCACAGAGATAACCACCCTTCTTTTTTCATTCTTGCTTTATTGAAATACAAGATCATAAATTTGTAACATTATTTCAACAGCTGGGTAATTAAAACAAATTCAGTAGAAAACAAGTAGTAAGACATGGAGACATTTCCACCAGCAAGTGTCAAGATAAGAGAAGAAGGTCTATAAATATCTTAAAATACTGTAATTTCTGAGCTGAAAGAAAAATTCTCTATGTATGTAAAACAGTTCAGTTTTAAAAGGGCTTATTAATGAGCTTGTAAATATAGGATTAGTTTTTGACACATAAAAAAAGGTATCTGCTATGTACCTTTTTTACAATTACTCTTAGGTTATTTTACTTCATGGCAACATTTGTTTAAAATGCTTCATGATGTAGCAACACAAACCTCAATGCACCTCACAAACCTCTAGTCTTTGTAAAACCTCATCTGTGTATTTTCATGCCTATCCCCTAAAATAAGCAACATTTTCCTCTTGTTAGTGAACTGCTTCAGTAGCAATGTGCTACTCACAGCTGGAGAAAGTAAAGCACAAGAATATGAGAAAAAGCCAAATGCTGTTCTCTTTCCTTCTACAGAAAATGTCACCAAAATTAAGAAATCACTATATATTTTATTCCTGTTCCTTTCAAACACAGTTCTGTATAGTTTGTGTGTACTATTTATTACTATAGGATTGCAAGCGTTATTGTAATATTTTCACCTGCCTTAAGAATTTTTTTCCATAGGGATTTACCAGGGCCTAATTTATACTTGCCTGTAATAAAAGAGGTCCCAATGAATCCTTATCAATAACTCCTTGACCTGTAGAAGATACATCAGCTTTCTGAACATCATCATCATTAGAAACTGCTTTCCCTGAAACCCAAAAGATACATTTCAGTAAAGCAACATTTCATGTGAAGACCACATTTTAATATTGTAAGCCAGGTTCAAGGAAGCATGTGAATAAAGACAAAAAAAATGCAAAAATAAGAGAGGAGTTCTCATAGTTAGTTGCTTAAGACCAGAAATACAATAGTATGTATCCTTCATACCTGTGGTATTTGGTGTATTGTACCAGCTGATGGTATAGTATAATCTGGTTTTAGTTTTTCTATAGACTATCTCAAGCTTTCCTGATATTTTTAGGAAGCTGATAGGGAAGGCCATACAAAGTTTGAAAGCCCTGATTTCTGATAAATAAAGTGCTAAATATTTGCTTACTTTTAAACAGAAAATTATTTAAGGCATATTAAAGGTTTGGTTCAAGTCGAAGTCTGAAGACTTTCTTGGTTACATACTATTGTGAAAAACACTACTCAGTTTCCCAAATAACTACTGTTTTGGAAATGGAATCACAAGAAAAGGAAATTATTTATTTTGGCTTAGCAGGGAACTGTACCTTGCTCTTTTATCTGTCGAATCTGTCTCACCGTTTCTTTCAAAATAGCACATTTGTCTGGTTTGACATTGAAATTGTCTATGTCACTCAGATTAGCAGATATCAGCTCAGCCAGTTCTTCAATGTATTTACTTTCCTGCTCACGTCGCCTCTTCTCACCACTGCAGGTCAGACTAGGAACCAAAGACATCATTTCACACACTTAGATACCATCACACACAAAACCTGTGCTCACTCTGAGAACTTGTATGTACTTCATGTCACACCCACCTGTTAAACCCATGAGGCAGTTTTAATTCCAGCAAACATAAATCTGACGGGAGGTGAAGGGTGTGTGTGTTTTGTTAGGATGTTATTTGGTTGGAGTTCTGTGGTTATTTTTAAAGAACTCCAAATACAAATGTATCTTAAGAGAAAGTTACTCATCCAAAAAACCCTCCTGTGATTACTATTCAATTTAATGAAAACAGCAATTGCCTGCTGTAAAACTGTAACACTCACCTTAAAAGTTACTTTAAGAGTTTTTTAATAATTTATTAGAAAAATGAAATAAGACTTTTAACATTCTATGAAAATCCCTTTGGTTTACTCATAACAAGATGACTACAGAAGATACCTCAGAGAAATTTCTAGGCATAAGGACAAAAATGCCATCTCAACATCCAAGAAAGTCAGAATCCCAGACAACCTAATGTTGCTGAATAAAGTGTCCCTCTCTGAAATTCCTTTTCCCACAGAGGAAAGTGTGCTGAGTAAAGACACTGTCTACAGCCTAAATCAGCAGAGAGAACAGTGTCATACACAGAGTATGCCAAAAGCAGGAAAAGGAGGACACGGGAGAAACGGATGGGACAAGAATGGACACACTCAGGGATTCAAAAGAATGACCATACTTTGAGAAAAAAACAAGTGAGTTAGGAAAGTACACACAGACCAACACTGGAGAAAACAAATACATGATAAAGCAGGTCTTGAAAGATAAAGAAAGCTAATAAAGGATGACAATCTGAAAACAAGAATTCCCGAACGCTCAGTCACTGGAGAAAGGGAGAAAGAAACTGGAAAGGAAGACACTCAGAAAGAGTATCTGGGATACAGTGGGAGAATCTGAGGATCCAGACACAATCTGGTGCACAATGGAGGTAACTAGCATGGGGCAGTGGGGACATATACAGAAGGGAGAAATCAGAGCACACATGATGCCTGGTATTTTGGTGAAACTGAACAGATATAATAAAGGTTGATACTTTGTGGGAACAATAGTATGAGAAGGTAACACAGAACCCTTAACAAGTGGTGGAAAGCTATCAGATTGGAGAGGACAGAAAACCAATTTCTTCAAATAACAAACTCTGACGGAGATGAGTGAGAGTCAAGAGGAAGAGGAAGACAGCCTGGAATGCCAGAATTCAGGATGAGCTGGCAATAACTAGTCTGGAGATACAGTTCAAAAAAGTGCTTAGTCTACTGCAGTATTCTGTGCTGACCACAGCCACCTGAAATGAGGTCTGCCGAATCCACTACCAGTTACAAGATGCTGCCTTTGAAATTTCTCCAAAGCAACAAGATTTTCTTGCTTTGCCTTGCAATCACAGCTTCAAACAGCAATTCCTTAAATGTTCATTCTATTCAGATTTCCACAAGTCTAATAATAGAGCATCAGCTTTGACATATCTACACATAATAGTAAAGTTTTGTATCTTCACAAACAAAGGTGGCCTAAAAAATGTCTCAACTGAACAAAAGTATTAGATAGAATTCACTCTAAATTGCAAGGAAAAATAGAACTATATTTTTAAACACTCATAATACAACAAAAGAGAGAGAAATTCACACAAACCTACCTTGCACCTGGTGTATCACAGGGCAATGGCTTGCGCTTCCTTGACTCATTAGTCAAGCTATCCAAGGAGTTTTCTCCCAATCCACTCATCTTGAACATGCATCAGCAACTAAATGCAAAAAAATAAAATAAAGAATTGTGGATGAACTTCCCAAAATAGTAATTTCAAATGCAGATGTTAGCTATGGGTGCAGAATTCAAAGGGAAATTCTTCTTATAGCAGCACAAGACTATGACAGAGAGACAGGCCAGAGGGCTGCTGCACTTAGGAGCAGACACTGGATTACTCTGGCACATGCACAAAGCTCAGAAGTAAAATGGGATCTCTTTAAAGCACCAGTTCTCTTTGCAGCTAAAGCAAACGTTACAATACTTAACATGAACTTGTATTCATAAGCAATCCTCATCCCAATTGGTAGGCATTAGAAGAGAAAGGATAATATACTTTGAACATCACCATAACATAAAACATAATTTTGCATTTGAAATAAACAATTACAAAAGATGCTTAACTTTGGAACTATGGTCATGGACTGCACAGGTAAGAAGGTGGTTTAACATCTAAATATTTGACATAAGACCAGGATAAATAAGACAAGACCCAAGATACAGAGAGATGGAAGACCAGACCTGAAGACTTCTATTTAATCATATAACCCTCCAGAGCAAAAAGCTCTCAAATACATTCACAGTGGCCCACCTGATGGGAAGCTCAAAAAATACACCGTTACGCCACTAGATGACAGTATAGCACTGAACAATTGCAGGGGTAAGATTTTCTTCAATTAAGCAGTTCAATGAAAAACTACTCATCTGAACAAGCAAGCAGTTTCAAAACCAGATTATATAAGCAGGCCGTGACCATGCAAAAAGCAGTGGATTATCTGAAGCTGACACTCCACAGAACATATGACTCATCAGGTCCTACGGCTCCAGAGCCCAGAGCTAATGCTGAACCCTGCAGTCCTTCTGGAGGGGACTCCAGGACTGGTGCCTCCCTCCCTGTAACTGCAGAGCGTAGACCTGCAGGGTTAAGAGCTACTGCGGAAGCAGAAAGGAAGAGCTTAAAATACAAGGGATAGCTCAGGAAGGGTGTGGGCACAGTAATTATGTCAGAAGCCAAGAGTAAATTCTATTTAAGAGGAGGAAAGATTTAAAATACATTAAATAAGTGAAAATTTGAGCTAGAACAGACATTTCACTGGAATGTAATTTTGCAGGTAACAGGGCTGCATTAAACGATTTAGAATGGAAATGTCATTTCTGATTTTGACCTGCACTGACAGAAAACTCACAATATGATTAAACAGAAAAACAAAATTATTACAGTTTGTCTCAAAAACGATACATACCGGAGAATACAACCCTTCTTCGATTTAAGAAAACCTTTCAGTACCTAAATATAGAAGCTTGAAAAAGGAAGGAAAAATTGGCTAATTTCATGCAGTCCGTTTCCCTCCTGTTACATCAAGTAGCTTATGGCAGTTTCTTCAGGCCTGAAGCTGCAGAGTTCTGAACACGTATTTTCCTTTCCCTAAGAGTATGGATACAAGCTGAGGATGCATGCAATGCCTAAACAACTCTCTAACTGCTTAGTAAGGAAATTACAGAAGCTGCCTCCCAGTAGAGATGGATTGACAGTACATATTGTTAGCAGTCAAACTAATCTCCCTGCTACAGGCAATATTAGCAAAGTTTATTATTCAGTGAGGTAATAATGAAAGGAATCATTAGTAAGAAAGCATCAGGTGTTAAATTTATTAACTGAATACAAACCTGTAAGTTCTAATGGAAAGGTTTTTCCAAGAATAAATCTATTTTGGGGAGGTTTCCTTCAGTTAATAATTCTTTCAAAAAGCAGATACAAAACACAGCTTTCAAAATTTCAAAATTTTATGCATATTTACAACTAAACACTGAATACAGCCATCTTTGTAAACTTACTTTCTGAGCTAAAAGCAATAGCATTTCTGACTCATGAACCTGCAACACTGGCTAGAAAGACTCCTCTGGTAGTTACAATCCACAACAATATCTACCTAAGCAAACCATTTTTAAAAAGAAAGTAATTACATAGAGAAAATGTTTCTATTCTTTGCATAACTAAAATAAATGTAAAAGCTAGCTTAATTTGACTCAATGAGTATTACTACACAAACCTAGGAAAATATAAGAAATTATGATAAATTTTAGATGAGTAAAAATTACCCAAACCACAAGAACAAATCTTCCATCACAGAACACTATTCTTACTCAGAATAATGGAAATAGAGATATAACAGCAACTACTCCCCTGAAAATATCTCATGATTGTTCTGCCCTTTTTCAAAGTTGCATGTACAAGCTCAAGAAGTGGATGGCAAACCACCTAAAGTCAGATCCTTAATGAACTATGTATATAACAGTATTTAAATGTTTGCTAGTCCAATGTTACCAGTACCCGCAACTAATCTTAATTTCTAAATTTCATTTCTAAAATAAACTGTTCATGTTACTCCACTGTATTGAAATACTTCATCAGTTTCATCAAACATTTTATAAAATAAAAGCATTTTATGCTACACTCCATCTAGTTATTGAAAACAGATGACACAATCCACACTTAGCTCTGTCCAATATGATTTTCCAAATGTTATTTGGAAAAACAAAGCAGTAGCTCTTGCCAAATAATTTTGAAAGGTATACATTTGTATGAAACAGAGAATGTTAAAGTTGAATAGAAGTAAATATCCTCAGAGCCCTCCAAAATTGATACTTAAAGGAAATTTGAGAAAAACCAAGATTACACAAGAGATGGTTCAAAGTCTTCAAAGCAAGACTTTGTTTAATTCAAATGGTTGTAGCAGTAATGAAGCACTCTACACTGATGTCCCTAATCTCACCAGTGGTGTGGAGCCAAAAGGCAGCAATATTTGGAGAAAAAGTTACAAATTTTTATGCTTACTTGCAAATACTAAGTACTAGCTTCTGCGTTACCACTCTATTTATCATTTCAGATATAATCTTAATTTTTTTGTCACTTACTGCAAAGGTGAAACAAGACACCAAAAAAGTAACAGACCTTCTTGCTCATCAGTATTTGTGTTGAAAAAACATTTGTCCTTTGCAATGTACTATATACTTTCACATCAGATCTGTTATTTCTCTGTACTGGTTTTGGACAAGTTCTAGTAATTATTAGTCCATCCATTGCAACAATATATGTTAATATATATGTAATATGTGTCATATATGTAACATATGTTCCAAATCAAAACATTTAAAGAAATCACCAGCGTTTAGGATTAGAATTTTCCACTTGTCAGGGTTTCAGTATTTTTATAGGCTTTCAATAAAAACATGAATAGTTGAATAAAGACATATTCTAAAATTCTGTCCCAGACTACCAAAAAAAGGATGCACATGTCAACAACACACTATGTTTGAAATCGAATTCTTGAAACTACGCAAAGATTATTTTGTTATAAGTCTGAGCACAGAAACAACTGGTATGCCTATTTATATAGATAGGAATCCACAAACTGACCTAGATAACTTCCTGACAGTAAAGAAGGGGTTATTTGTTGTTGTTTTTTTTCTTCTTCTCTACTCCCTTTTTCTTTTTAAGAACATGCTTCTTATATACTTAAATTTACAGTTTGCAAATTGTAGCTTTAAAAATTATAAGGGAATTACTATTCAAGTATTTCTTTCAAGTCCAAACATGAAATCAGTCACTTACTTGTCCTTAGCAAACATTCAAGCACAGTATATTTTTCAGAGGACCTTCAGAATCAGTAGTCATTTTAAGTCACATCCTGAAAAACAAAAACGACTGTATAATTAAAAAAAAAAAGTCTTGCTTTTTTTCAGTTTTCATGTAAAATCAATAATCTTACCTAAAAGTAAACATTCAATATTGAGATATTTTAATGTAAAAAACCCCTCACTAGTAATAGCTGGAACTGTCATCTCTGTTACATGCTAAACAGCTCAAATGCCACCCAGTAAGCTAGATTTCCTTTCACATAAGAATTAAATGTATTATTTTAAATGTAATTTTTTTTTTCTTAGGAAGATAATGAAGAGTGTTGTAGTAACTTTTAAAACTTAACATAAAAGACTGCTGCCCTGAATTAATTATTTTGTAGTTATGACTGGCAAGTAAAAATCAAGTAGACAGCCACTCTAGGTCATCCTGCACACATTGCTTGGCACATAACTATTAGATGAGAACAGCAAACTGTTTTCAGAGCTATGAACATTCAGGTTTCTGTTACCCTCCTTTTGATTAAATTCAAGGAATGATTAATCTGTATTATCATGCATTGTATACAAGGTATGATTAAGTGTCCTAATTAGTGAAATTCTGGGTCTCTATAGAGAATTACAGTAACTTAGGAAAAGTTTTGAACAGTAATTTTGTAAAAACTGCTTAAAGCACTACATAAAGCAGAGGCTGTTCCAACTAATTAGAAAAATAAATTGCTCTTGGGAAATATTTATGAGACATTCACATGTAAGTACACACCATAGCCCTATCCAAAATCAAGAGTTTTAAAATTGATACTTCTGCTCAGACTACTTAATAGGGAATCACTAGCAGGCAGGCAGGTGAGTTTTATTCAAGTAGCTCATTTCTTAAGAAATTAAATTGAAGCTTTTCATATCCACTGGTTGCATATGCATTCATCTGCTGTTTTAACCATCCCTTTGACAATACTGATAGTAGCTTTATTTCTATGAACGGGAATTACCAATTAGAAGGTTGATTGACAATGTGGTCACATAAGAGTAAGCATCAAGAGTAAATTGACTCCTAATTAAAGATGTCTGTGACACCATTTTATGCTAAATCAACCTCTGCTAATCATGGAAATCAGAACAAAAGCACGCACACACACAAAAGAAAGATGACAAATCTAAGGAATTTCAAGATGCAGCATCAGAAACACTTGGCCATCATGGAAAATAACCTTCACTCGCTAATTTCTGTTAAAATGCTAAACCAGACCCATACTACAGTCAGTGACAGCTTTGCTATCTAATTTCACTGATGTGGTCTTACACCCAGCAAGGGCTATTTTCTGATGTGTCTACTGGATAGAAAT